AAAATCTCAGACTAGTCAATGGACTTGAATTCACTGATGGAGGCTATTTTCCTACCCACAATGATGGGGCAGATAAAAAAAAAAAAAATCAAATATTTTTGTAGTGATAGATGTTATTGTTGTTTTCTTTCATTAGATTTTTAAACTAAAAATGCTCAGACCAGTTCTCCTTAAAAATACTTTTTGACAACACACACACATACACTGCATCATTCATTGTGAGGACAGACTCCAAATAGTTATTTGATGATAAAGAAGTTATGATGCTTCATCTAGCATCCATGGGACGCTGGGAAATCACAATTGTCTGAGAAGAACTGAAGGCAGATGCTTTTCTAGAAGCAGGAACAGGTAGAAAAAAGAATTGTTAGAACTCACATTTCTTTTTCCTGCCCTATAGAGCAAAGGCCGCTCAGGTTGCCAGCAAGAAAGAGCAAGCTTACTTACTGTAAATCTGAAAGAGCGAACAACAAACTTACTTAAATCTTATTTTTTCTGAGATGTACTTGATTAATCCACGGCTGCTATATCTGGGGTGCAAAAATCTAGAGACCTACTAGGTGGTAGCAAAAATATATCAGGAACTAACTCTCCTGCCATCCAATGGCTGTCTGGATTTTTGCAAATGGTATTTGGTAAATCATGGTAACCCTGATTAATCAGCTTAGGCAGTGCTGCTCCTGCCAGCAATTAGCCTCAAACACTCAAGGTGTCTACTCTGTGCAGCCTTAGAAGGCTTCATTTGATAAGGCTAAGAGGATGAGATGTGAATGTAACAATTCCTACTCTCCAGATGTTTCTACTTCTGGCAAAATGTTTGCCTCAACTCTTCCATGATAGATGACTGTTATTCTCCAGCCTCCCATGGGTCCTGATTCTGAATAGGCATCACCTCTTCCTCATAATCAGAGGGCTCTTCACCAACATATCTATAAAAATGGGTTGAACCAGGGCTCTTTTAGAGATCAAAAGTGTGGGGCTGAGCAGGAGGGGAAAAGTTGTAACTATATGACTTGTTGATTTTTTCCCACTTTCTAACAGAACCAGACTGAAGAAACATGCATCTCTATATTCTAACAGAAGAAGTTTTTCAGTCACTCCTCCTTGACCTTTATTGATAGGCAGTACCAGATAAAGAGTATGATTCCTTTCATTCCACAAGCACTGTAGTTCAATGTTCCTCAACTTAGTATTCTTTAGATATGGCAGGGATACAACTCCCGTGAATTCTAGGAGTTGCAGTCCCAATACATCTGGAAAGTTGCTGAGGCCACTTGAAAGAATAACATTTGTTCACATATGTGATAACTAGATGGTAAAATAAAACATTAAACCATGGTAACAATCCTAAACTGGCTTATTTGGAAGTTCATCCTGCCATTTATTTCTCATTATCTTTCCTGCCATGCATTCTACCTCCTCTATTTGTTTTCCTTTCCAGTCCCAGAGAGCCTTCTCTCTCCTGGATTGAAGGGAGAGTACCTCTAGAGGTCGCCAAGCACTAGCAGCAATTAGGAGAGGAATATAATCTTTTCTGAAGGAAATAATTGAATAACCCTTTGCTTTAATCATGTTGCTGCTAACATTCCAGGTTTGGGACAGTGCTTTCCCCCCCTCCCCCCCTCCCCCTTTAACCAGCCTGTGCTGCCCAGGAAATAGAGATGAAACTAAGAAACTCATGTAGCTTCTAGCACCAGTTGATTCCCCTTTCCAGCCTCACAACCCATTGGAGAAAGAGAGAGAGACAGAGAGACAGAGAAGGAGCAGGCCAAGCAAGGAAAGAGACAGCCCTATTCCTCCCTTGCCTCTCCCCCCTTGACAAGTTTTCCTCTTAGCATTTGATCCTTTCTTTTTTTCACACCAACTAATTTTTCTCTCCTTTGTTCAGTACAGAAACAGACACAATTCCTACAGTTTTAATTCTGTTTCTCAAGGATGTGTCATTGAGATAACAGGTACATCTAGGAAACTGGAGTAATCTCTTCCACTAAAATCTGATTGACTAATACCTTCATCAAATAAAAGAGAAAGGACAGACAACAGTTGTCATTAAATCCACATTAATACAGACAATTCTTTACAAATGGGATTGGAAGAAAGGAATCCAAATATGTCTCCAGTATTATCCTTGGGAGCTTAAAATGCACACTAAAATCTTCTACTTATTTAGGAGAGAGCAAGTTATCTGGACCTCAATAAACTCCTAAGTAAAGCAGGTAAAATATGCAGAAGATTCATTTGCAAGTGCCCTATGTGGAAATGAGCAATAAGGTAGCTTATATAGCACTTGTCTTCCAAGGCTGTGTAAAAAAGCATGACTTCTGGTGACTTTATGGACACTCTAATTTAAGCATATTAAACCAGAGTTCCTTCCTAACATGCTGGTCCCCAGATGTGTTAAACTAGAATTTCCATTATCCCCAACCAAGACTACCAAATCATGCTGGCCAAAAGATTGGAAACCCTAGTCCAACATTCCTGGAGGACGTCAGGTTGGATAAGAATGCAATATGCCAAGCTTTGGTGCTGAATATCAAGTTTCAGTTCTAATTTAGGGAACACATTGAAATCTATATAAGTTTACACACAATACCATGATTGATTGATATCTATTTATATATAAAGGTATTTTAGCTGCATTTCAGCCTAGAAATATGTAACTTAGAGCTTTGAAATAATTTAAAAGTGAAAAATCACATACAGCAAAATTAAAAGCAAGATTTGTTTGATGGTTTTATATTTTATATTATTTATATTTTATATTATTTAATGTAATATGTAGAGTGTAGAATGGCCATCTTTATAACTGGAATCATTACCCTGGATTATCATTACCATAATGATTTCCCTGGGATTTGGACACCATCCCCTTCAAGAGAATGAATGTCCAGAGGCTGTACTTCCCAGTCTACCATTCCAGACTTAGGAGAATCATTCCTCCAATCCTAGAACAGTATTGTACACCCTGGGACCAGCATCCAATCTCAAAAGCCATTTAACCTTGTCTGTCATGCTAAAACCAGGGTTGGCATTCTACTCCAAAGGACTGGTACTCCATTTCCACATTATCCTTCTATATCTATTAGCCTTATTTCTAGTGCCAAGACTAAGAATGAATATATTAAGATCATATTAAAGAAGACATTTAAAATAACATTTAAAAATCAATACAGTAAGAGAAATTTAAATCATTTCTATGCCTAAAACCAAAATATGTTTAGTCAACATTAAAGATCAGAATTAGGTTTTAAAATACTAAGAAAATTAGAATGATTTCCAAACCCTGTGACCCATTCCATTCTCTCTCAATATCTTAACTTTATTTGTTGCCTATTTGTACTTGCATTGATTTCAGTGAGCCTAGTCATGTACATAGACTTTCTCATCTTCCCTTATGAATCCAATGGACTCTTCAGATCGCTTCCATAGTTTCCAATCCACATTCCTATCCTTCTATGACTTTTAGGTAGGCTTTAGTTAGTTAGTGCCTCTCTCCCTCTAGAACAGACTCTTCCTTTCTATAGAATAGTTTGTAATTCTAGGCCTGGGCAGGGGAGGAGAAAGCCCCTGGCAAAGTTAAAAGCTGTATCCCACTTTCTCCATGTCTCTCCTTTCAGGCCTCTCCTCCCTGCCTGCTCTTGAATTCAGATTTGCATTGCCTCTCCCTGCTTGGCTTGGCTTCTAAAACACTTTAAGGCAACATTTGGTTTATTTATAGTTTAGCAGGTTGAATGGAGCTATCTCCCGTGGTTGGTAAATCATGACTTATGGTTTAGCATGTGGTGCAAACCTAGCCAATGGGAGTTTATAGAATAAACCATGGTGAAGCAAACCAGGCTTTGTGCATTATGGGAACAGTACCTCCCCGCCTCACCCCACCCGAATGCACGCGGTCCTTTCTAGATGATCATATTTTGCCCTCTCCAAAACCTACCGGGAGGCAGTAACTCCTCTGGATTATTATTACGATTTTTCCTCGTGTGGAGAGAAGAAAGACCCGAGGAAGAAGCTTAAGCCTAGCAGGGAAGTACCGCAGTTCAAGGAACAGAGCTCAAATCGGGGGGAGCAAAATAGGCTTTGAATGTGGGGTGACTCCCACAATCACGCCGGTGGCCGAAGTCTGGCATCACAACAGCGCTTCACTCCGAGCCTCTTCTCTTCCCCCATTTCCCATCTATCCTCCCACCCTCCCCCCGCGCAGCGAAGAGCGAGAGAACCGAAGCCGGCGACTCAGCAGCCTGCGACGCGGAGGCTCCTTCGGTTAGTTCTGGGCCACAGGAAGCCGCGGCTACTGACAGCCGGACTGCGAGCAGGCGGAGGAGGGAGAGGAGCCGAGAGAACGGGAGAGGCAGAGGAAGAGCCTCTCCTGCCACCCGCCAAGGCCAGGCGCACGGCACGCAGCCTAGGAGAAGGGCCCCCGTCCTCGGGCGCTCGGCGGAGCTGCTCCCTGGCAGCCGCCCTGAAGTAGGCAAGCGCGTCCGAATTTCCCGCTAGCCGGGAGCGAGCAGGCCCTGCACTTTAGGGCTGGTTTTAAGAGGTTGGGGAAAGTTTCTTCTCTTCCTCTGCGACCGCGATTCGGTCCCTCTCCCCGGGCATCTGCTCGGCTTCTCCCCGCTCTCGCTCCCCAAGCCCGAGCACCCTTCCGCACCGGCAGACCATCTGAGCCCAGTCCGCGAAAAGGAAGTGAGCGCAGCACCCACCGTGTCCTCCCCGCAAGGAGACCGGCGAACGGTAGATAGAAATAGGCACGGAGTGGTGCTTGCTGCCATGGAAATGGTGCTCTTGCTGAACCTGCGAAGAGGCGGACGAGGAGGCCGGCAAATCCGCGCCGGAAGAACTCCGCGCCGAGCTTACGATACATCCCCAGACGAGGGAGCCCATCCACAGGGTCCACACGGGACAGCGTCCTGGTGCTGTTCGCAGAGCAGTGCCCTGCATGGTCAAGCGCACTGGGCAAAATCCCCGAAAGAAGAATAGGAGCAACTACGGGCCGGGCAGTTCAAATTCCAGCCGGGAAAAAAGGATCGGATTCATGATGCCAAAGTCCCCATCCTACTTAGCTGCAGGGAAGGGAAAGAGGGAGCGCGAGGAAAGCGAAGAGTTGCTTCCAAAGTGGGAGTTGCGCGCCACAATGGAACGGGCGAGGAATGGGTTAAGCAGCCGAGCAGCACAGGAGCGAGCCAGCAATTGAAACCAACCGCTGCTAGATCCCAGGAGCTGGTTTGGGTGGGTGGTTTTTTTTTTCTTTTTTTTCCTTTTTTTCCCGTTATTGGGTAAGGTTCCCTTCAGACGTAGCAAGCTTCCAGGAAGGACCAGCGGAGCCACGCATACTAGGCAGAGAAGGATCCTATTCTCTCATCTGTCACGTTATCTCTCCAGGCTCCCACGATCCACAGGGATTTCCCCTACCCGTCCCCCTCCCTGCCTCTCACTTTTAACTAGAGAAAGGAGAGGGGGAGGTTTTTTTTCGGGGGTGGGGATGCGGCCAGAGACCTTAGAAAGATATTGATTTCCCCCCCGGTTTATCCCAATTCCAGTTGCTGGCTTGGTTGCTTCTTCACGGACAAAGGTTGCACGGCGGGGATGCTTTAATCTCCTCTTTCACACCGACACGCGCCGGGGAGCCCACAGGCACACAGCAGCGGACATGCATTCGACAAACTGAATCGCGTTATCCTCGAATGCGGGGCGGCAGCTGAGGAGGTCTCGCAGCGCGTGTCCTGGAAAAGTACCTGCCGGATTTTCTTGAGGAACTGAAAAGGAGCAGACTGAAGAAGCAAAGGTTAAAAGAGGAGAGACAGAGTGGAAAGTCCAGCATCCACAAAAGAAATCAGAATCGAGTCACTGTCCTTTTTCTTTTTTCTTTTCCTCTCTCCCTCTCTCTCCTTCCTTCCTTCCTTCCTTCCTTCCTTCCTTCCTTCCTTCCTTCCTTCTCTTTTTCTTTTTCTTTTTCTTTTTCTTTTTCTTTTTCAAAAGTGGATCAGGATGCTCAGGGTTTGCTCAATTAAAGTGAAGGCAGCTAGGAAGCCCTGGTGAACTGAAGCGAGGACTTGGGAGCCAAATTCACAAATGGGCGAGCCGGATGCAAATTGGATCACTCCAGAGAGCGAATCAGAGTAGCCCAAACACCCTGCAGAGGGACTGGCTGGTTCCCGGGAAAGGAGGGGCTGAAGTTGGAACCTGCAGTCCCACCCCCTCCATTCATATACAGCCTCTACTCAGGGACACACACTCTCTCTCTCTCTCTCTCTCTCCCCCTTTCCATTCTGATTAGCGGCGTCACTTTTAATCGTAAAACATAAATATAGGGAAAGTGGCAAGGAAAGTAACCTAAGCCGTTCATCACATTTAGCTTCCGAACGATTATTATTACAAATTACTGTTGTCAACTATAACCAATACAGATCGGTGGAGATTCTCCTCCTTCGCTGGTGTGTAGGACACAAGTTACAGGGGTTTCTTAGAATAACAATAGAAAGGAGCATTTGATATTTTGTAGCTCATCTGAATTTCTGATTCATTGGTCACCTTATCCTTCAGATATCACTATTGTCTGGAGTTGGTGGTGTCGAGGATGAAAATTACTCTGTGGCATAGATGAGAAAGAAAGAGAGAGAGAATTATAGGGGACAGAATGGGTTGAGTTTTCCAGCTGTTGAACATGTCTTGAATTCTACTGCCTTTCCCTCCTCTTTCTCTCTCTCTCTCTCTCTCTCTCTCTGAGTTTGTGAGAATGAAACACTATCCACTCCCCACCATCACCACCCATACACACACCCAAACACAAAGATTATAATTGAGATTCTGACTTTAGGATGGTTTAAAAAGGAGACAGAAGCTTTGATTCCACAGGCAGAGGGAGCAGCCATCTCCTTCACTGCAGGCACAGGACAACAAGCTGATCTACCATCCCAGAAAAGGGCATTTTGGATCCATGCCAACTTCATCCCAACCATTTTTCAACTGGCTCTCTGAAATGTAATTACCATTTTATTGTTGCCAGTACCCAAGGGAAGAGGAGGCAAGAACTACACCCTTATTGAGGCAGGAGGCAGAGCTAAAAGCAGCAAGAAAGGAGAGGCGGCTTTGTGCTGGGAGGAAACAGGGTGAGGAGAGCAGAAGACATGGCTTCTCCCAAGAGCAGCCTACAGTTTTTTTTTAACCCGATGCCCTCCAGATGAGTTAGACTACAAGCCTCATTATCCCCAACTGGCACAATACTAGCAATGATATTAGTTCCTGTGATTTAAATTTATGATTCAGTGCATTCTTCTAGCAGTTGTAATCATGGCAGTCAGTCTGGATAGTTTTAAAAGAAGTCTGGATAGGTTCATGGAGGATCAAGCTATCATGGCCACTAATGCTGATGATGGCTGTTTACTGCTTCCTGAACTGAAAGCAGCAGAGCAGCAGCAGCAGCAGCAGATGTTGATGCCAGTTGCTGGAAAGTGACAGTGTTATTGTCCAGTTCAGGCTTGTGAATTTCCCAGAACCACAATGACATCCATCTGGTCACTGTATCACATAGAATGTTGGACTAGAAGAGCCTATGACCTGATCCACCACAGCAATTCTTACATTTTTAAGTTGAATTTTTAAATAAGTTTTATGTTCTGATTTTTTTTTCCTGGTTTGTTTATCCTAGTGGAGATGTTGTGGACAACAGGGTGGGAGCAACACTGTTAGATCATAAGGCTGTCTATGGTTCATACAGAAGTAGGGATTTTGAACTAAATCTCTAACTGATGTCTAACTTAGCAACTTCTTTTTCCTTTGCAGAAACTGGGAAAGTGTCATTTGCTGAATTTCTTCTTTCACTTTGTCACTTAGTTGCTGCATTAATGTGGTGTTTTATTTTGTTCTGGTACATTTTTGATTTTACACAATGTTTTGTCTGAATAGCTTATCTGAAACAAAATCAGTTGAACATTTTATATAGGCTACCCAGCTGGAGTGCTGAGGAAAGGTATACTGTTTTTCATTTATACCACTTTCCCAGTTTAAATCTCTCCATTCCCCTACCACCACAAGAGATGCTATTTGTTCCATGGGACAAAATATGCGGGTTTCCATATTGTACATATTTTCTCCAAAAACCACTAATAATTATTTAGACAGGGGAAATGACATGAGAGAAATAATTTTGCAAGTTTCTTGGGCCTTATCCAAATTCATTTGGCTGTATTTGCTTCTCAGTATTTGCTTCTTCAAACAAACATATGAGCAGGGGGAGAGAGAAACCTATAGAATAATCTAGTCATATGTCTTGCGATATCTTCTGTAATTGTCCCCTAAGTCACATTCTGAATTAGGGTCTTTCTGTTTCCCCAATTTAGCCAATTTATTAGGACAATATAACTTTGGAGGGCTGGGGGGGGGCGGGGAGATAAAGATCACACAAGGCTTTCAGGTGATGTGCCAGTAACTACACTGCAAAATGTTAAAGCAGAGGGCCAGGTTAATTTGATTCAATTAAATTTAAATGTACATATTAAATACAATTAATATGATTATTCCCCATGTGTTCTATAATTTACCTCTTCCATCATTGTAAACATTGCAGATCAGCTGGAAGCAGTACCTAAGGCTTCAGGGGGCTACATGCAACTCTATCCTATGTCACAGAGAAATAATTACTATCCATTCAAAAATGTTGTTCTAATGAACAAAGAACTGACAAATGAGGATGTAGTATAAAGCATTAATAGAAAGGTGCTGCGTACTATTCCATTAAAAGGTAAACACTCTGCTCACAATGCAATATTAAAAGAGGTGAGGACAGAAAATAAATGTATATGATCCATTTGACATCTACGGCTTGCATCCAACTCTGATTAGAAAGCTGGGGAAACAAAGAGGTATCCTTGACATAAGTGGAGATAAAAAGCCAGTTATCAAAAAAGACAGTCTCTGTACCACTACCTTTTCATTCTCTTACTCCTAATATGAGTCTCCAGACTTATCTCTTACTTCTTTTTCATCATCTATGCAGAGATCAGTCAAGTACATAATCATAAAATTCAAACGGGAAAATATAATGCAAAAATGGATCCCTCATTAAATAATCTATTTATTGAGTCTAGTTTTAAACAAATAAATGAAAAACAATACTAATACTATTTATTAAGAATGTAATAAAATGGAGGAAGACTTGAAGGGATAGGGATAGGGATGGATTGTCATGGAGAAAATGTATGTGGTTGCTAGGAGTCAAAAATGACTTGATGGCATGTAACCAATCAATAAAATGGAGAAAAGAAGAGAACAAGATGCACTCTGGAAGGAAGGAAGGAAGGAAGGAAGGAAGGAAGGAAG